CTTCCCCCCCTCTCTCTATTGCTCTCTCTCCCTTCCCCCCCTCTCTCTATTTCTCTCTCTCCCCCCCCCCCTCTCTAACTATTGCTCACCCCTCCCCCACTCTCTAATGCTCTCTCTCCCTCTCCCCCCCCCACTCTCTATTGCTCTCTCTCCCTCCCCCCCTCTCTCTTTCTCTTTCTGTCTCTTCTTTTTTTTTTTTATTGTTGCTGTAGTTGTCAGTTCAGTTTGATTCTGAGTGCTTCATGGCAGTGTGTCTATTTTGGGCATAATCAACAAAAGATCACATTTCCTGAGCTTGCCCCTTCCCCCGTATCCCAAGTTACAGGGTCATGATAAGTATTTATTGTTGGAAGTGCTCATTTTTCATGTGATAGCAGCATCTGAGCAAACTGGAGGTCTTGTAGACCCATTGGCTGGGAACATCAAAAAGTTCTTCAAAGGCTGTGGCCTATAGTCATTTGACACAGTGAACAATAGTTTAGAATTGCAACTGGTTGCCTAATGTGATCAAAGGGTTAACCTAATGCCGCCAGGGTTGGCATGTACGTACATGCCATTCCCACTGTGAGTCGACTTGTTCAATTGTTTTTACACATAGATGGCTTCACATGTACTAAGTCACCAATGAGCCAATTACGAGTACTACCTGTCTCGCCCATTCACCCTTTTCATAGATTTACGAAAATATTTAATGTTATCCTAATTTGCTGTTAAAAATAACACCATCTATATTTATAGCACTAGTAAGAATACATTTTTTCCCGCCAATTGAAGGAAAGGTGAAATCAGGACTAGCAGAGCCATCTATGGACAGAGATATTTCACAAAAATATAAAAAATGAGTACTGCATTTCCCCCATTTTTTGTTCATTTTCCCCGGCAGCAATGGGTTAAATTCAGAATATGTACTTATTATCTATAATGAAATATATATAGCTCTTGCTCATGATAATGAAGCAGAGCCCTGCAAAAGTAAGTTGGCCAAGTGGGAACTTCAGTAGGTTAGCTGTGATATAAAATAAGTATGGTATTACCTGATTTGCTATAAGCAAAAAGATTCCATGCAATGTAAAGCAAGAGCAGTGTTCCATTGATTTAAAACATTTGCTATGTTTGATTATTACATTTTGATTGATGAACAATTTAATCATTTGGAAATATTCAGCGAATTCATTAGGTTTGTTCTCCTAAATTTCTCCCTTTTTAAAATTTGCAGCATGGATATGAATATACAAACCACATATGCTAGTGACACACCATGGACCACAAGTTTTTACTTAAACCCACTGTCTGAATGTAAATGAGGGGCTTTTAAGAAATCAAAATGTATCACAGGTTTACAGTTAGAATAATGGTTACATTTGAAAGTTGTTTAACTAGATCAAATAATCAGCTACTTACAAATGCACATTTAATCATAGAATATGTAGTGTAAAGTATTCATAGTCAAGAGCTAAGCCTACCTAGCCTCATCTGTTTATCCTCACATACTTACCTTTTTTTTTTTTTAACTTGTTGATAATGTTAGGATAGTAATGATAAGGAAAATGACATTTGTGAATAATAATAGTAACAGAAATGTTAAAAGTTCAACAAAAAATTAAGGATTGCATAAAATTAGGAAGAACTAGTAATTATCCCCTTGGAGACTTGGCACTTCAGGAACTATCTAACTAAAACCAAATTAATCAAACTTTTGTTTCAGCATATATGTAGGTCAATATGTATTCAGAAAATAATCTATTTGCCTTAACTTATGAATGAACAGATGTTTCTGAACTAAAAACTGCCAAAGGACTTGCATTACAAGACATCTTAACAGAGATACATACCTACATTCACAGAAGTAAGTTCAAGAACTCGAGTTACACATTCGTATGCATGAACATACTCACTTGCACACTTACACACATTTTCAAATGCATGCACATGTACGCACATGCACGCACACACAAATTATATTTATATGAAATACATTAACAAAATCATTCAAAAATGATCTAATCATGACCCAGATAACATGCCTACACCTCATCCATCATCCTACTCATGTTCCCCTAACATCCCTTAGGCTGCCAGTCATAGTGGGCAGGAACAGGATCTTGAGCAGACTATGGTTCCAACTATGGTTCATAGGTGGTACATTCCACTCTCATTTACTAGTGGAAACAATGTAAGAGCTCCTTCCTAAATGCCCTCTGAAACTAAACATCTTCCAAGAGCTTTGTACACTCATTCCCATCACCCCAGCCCACAGCCAGATTTTTCAGTAAAGTGACATATTTGTCACCCATATCCAGTGTGTTAATACTTTGCTTCAATGTTGCATTTAACATTTGCTTTCAGTTTACTTTAGATGTTAACTTTTTTAGTACAGATAGCATCAACCTGCATTTGTACTTGTAATAATTTAGTAATAATTCATAAATACTGCAAGGGGTATTGACAAAATATAATGTATGTCCCAATTTGTTTCAGTTGATTTTCCAGTAGAAGTAAGAATTCATCTTGTGGAACGGCTATCAGACATTGAAGTGCGGCTGTGCTCTGGGGCATCAGAAAAAATCCAGTTGTCAGCAGTTCTAGCTGCTTTTGCCCAAGCAAAACACATGGTAGCAACCCAGGCAGCTGCTTAGAAATGTGTATGTAGAGTGTACATAAATATAACTTTTGTAACTGTCTGTCTTGCTGTATTGAGAAAAGGTTTTCAAATAAATTCTTAGTTTATAATATATTGTTTTATTACATTTATAAATAGTTACATATAAAATGTACATAATTGTTAGTAGTTATCACTCATGAGTATCTATACGGTTCTCATTAACCTTCTTAGAAGGTGAGTCAATGTTGATAGTTACTGGCCCATCATTCAGGATATCAACTTGCATCATAGCACCAAATTTGCCATCTGGAACACAAGATTAAGAGGCAAGACTTAACAGGACATCAAAGCATTTCTAGTAAAATGATAAATTATAACAGACCAATTTGTTTTTTTAACTTCATTGCAACAATACTAATCTATTTTATACTGATTGTTTAAATTCAACTACATTATATAAGATATATACTAAATGTAATTTAGAAGTACTAAGAAAAATTATATATGTGTTTATGTATACACAATGTCTGTACATGCTTATGTGTACACGATCTCCGTGTGTTTATTTCTACATGATGATTGTTCATGCTTACGTGTACACAATGTGTGTGTGCTTACTTGTATTTATGTGCATGCATGTTTGTATGTTTGTTTGTGTGTGTAGATGTTCATATGTATATGTACATGTATATATATGTATACTTTCCCAAAAATTATAAACAATAAATCAAATCAAAATATACAAGGATAAACATAAAATTATGGTACATCACTATGAAACCTGGAAGGTGTTTGTACACCTGGTGATGAAGTTGTCATGTTTGTATTCTCGTGTATACCTCCCCCCCCCCCCCCTTCCCTTGCTTGTTGCTGCCATGTGGGGGCTTAGGAGGAGGAGACTGGGGCCCAATATGGGGATCACCCCTGCCTTGGACATCAGCCCTCCCTTAAATCAATTTTGCAAGGTCTTTTCTTTTCCCTCTTTCCTTTTCCTTCTCTTCTTCATCCCCTTTTGTCCACTTATTCAAATCATTAACTTATATTTACCCTAATCACCACAATACTTTACAATAGTGCTGTGCTTTGTTTTTACCACTGACCATTCTGGAAATTCACAAACATTACCTTACTGAATTAAAAAAAAAAAAAAAAACTTTACCAGGGGGTTTTGCCCCAAAGCCCTAACCTATCACTATATTTTGTATATGGCACTAATGAACTTTGATGTTGACTCAGCAGAAATTTTTCAATAAATCAATTAATCTCAAGTATAATTAGTTCATGAAGTTGCATATCCATTTTAGTGTCATTCACTGATGATGATCAATTAAATCAATGTTAGTGAAATATGTATTTGCAAATATGATTGAACTAGTGATACCATAAGGCCACTGCAATTTTTTTTATTGTTTAGCGAGTAGATTTTCTGGAAGTAGGGAGTAGGAGGTAGGAAAAAAAATAAAAATAAAATTCTCTTCTGAGGCATTTTTTTTCTTTACAGGACATTTCCACTGAGGATTTATATGCAGGGGAAATTAAAAAAAAAAAAAAAAAAATTACACGAAATTTGAAATTGAAAATTTTCAAAACCTCAATTTTATTTTTTTTTCACATTTCGCAAAAAAAAAAAAATGAATGCGGCGGGCTTGCTAAACAATAAAAAAAATTGCAGTGGCCTAACTTTAAAATTAAAATCAAGGGAGATCACTCTATTGCCTCTGTCAGCTCCCATTTACCAAATAACTTTGCTTTACATTAGGCAGCTGCATTAAATTTTATGAAATGTGGTATATGTTAATCACATTTATAAAACTGATTTCTAAATAACACCATAGTTCTCAGTGAGAATACATATTCAACATATGATGAAAGGGTATTGTGAGAGGGCTGCCACATTTAAGGAACCTGAATAGCAAGCATTTACATACAATAAGAGGAAAGTAGAATCTATTTGCATCGATGGGATACTTCTATGGGCCAGTGAATCTTCATTTTTGTTTTCAACAAATAAAAAACAAAAAAAATCCAGGCCAACTTCTAAATTTTGAAATATAAAGCAAGTAAGAAGATAAAATAAACATGGGACAACTTCTGTTTTATAGTTACAAAAATTGAGCAAAAAAGTCTCATTAACCCAAAACCCAACAGGCATGGTATGCACATATATGTCATGCCCACTGCAAGTTTGCTTTATTAATTTTTACACAGATGGCTCCATTTGTACAAAGTCACAAATGAGCCAATTATGAGTACTACTTGTCTCACCTGTTTACAGTTTTCCTTGATTTTTAACAATAATTGGTTATCTTCAATCTTTCTAACAGACATTTCACAGATTTATTTATTTATTTTTTTATTTTTTTTTTTTTATTTATTTTTTTTTTTTTTCAAGCACAGCATTTTTCCAGCAACATTGGGTTAATCATTCAAATTAGTGTTGTAAGGACAATTGAAAAACAACCTATTCACACAAGATTATGGTAGATATTACTTATTTAGATATCATTTCCAGGTTATTTTGTAAAAGTAGGAATTAGGAACTGATAATATATTCACGCATCTATTTGTAAATGATGGTGCAACCTTTATCATACAAGTAATTTAATAAAGCATTTAAAATGGTATGACACCTAAGATGTAAAAATCTGTGATTTATTTGGCAGCCCATTTTATTCACACTGTAAGGTTCCAATACATTTCCATAGATAAATAATTACTTGAAATTGCACAATAAATGCTTGTGCAAGTGTGGTCTCCACATACTGTGTAATGTATTTGTATATAGGAGCACATATTTCCCATCAAGAGAATAAGGTGCAACTCACAGCAACAAATACCAACCTTGTAGCATTGTCACATCTGAATGTTATGTTTGAATTCCGCGCGCGCGCGCGCATGTGTGTGTGTGTGTGTGTGTGTGTGTGTGTGTGTGTGTGTGTGTGTGTGTGTGTGTGTGTGTGTGTGTGTGTGTGTGTGTACACGCGCGCGTGCATGACTGTGCATGCATGCATGTGGATGTGGACATGTGTATGTCTGTGAAAGTGTGAGTGTGAGTTAGTGCGTGCGTTCGTGTGTGTGCGTGCATGCATGCATGACTGTGCATGTATGCGTGTGGCTGTGGACATGTGCATGTCTGTGAAAGTGTGAGTGTGAGTTAGAGTGTGTGTGTGTGTGTGTGTGTGTGTGTGTGTGTGTGTGTGTGTGTGTGTGTGTGTGTGTGTGTGTGTGTGTGTGTGTGCGTGTGTGTGTGTGCGTGTGTGTGTCTGCGTGTGTGTGTCTGCGTGTGTGTGTGTCTGCGTGTGTGTGTGTCTGCGTGTGTGTGTGTCTGCGTGTGTGTGTGTCTGCGTGTGTGTGTGTCTGCGTGTGTGTGTGTCTGCGTGTGTGTGTGTCTGCACGTGTGTGTGTGTGTATGTGCGTGTGTGTATGTGTGTGTGTGTGTGTGTGTGTGTGTGTGTGTGTGTGTGTGTGTGTGTGTGTGTGTGTGTGTGTGTGTGTGTGTGTGTGTGTCTGCGTGTGTGCGCGCGGGCGTGTATGGTGTGTGTGTGTGTGTGTGTGTGTGTGTGTGTGTGTGTGTGTGTGTGTGTGTGTGTGTGTGTGTGTGTGTGTGTGTGTGTGTAAATAATGTGTGTGTGTGTATGTATGTATGTATGTATGTATGTATATATGTATATATGTATATATATATATATATATGTATATATATATATATATATATATATATATATATATATATATATTATACCTTTTATCATGTCTCCTTTATACTGCCTCCTTAACTGGCCAAGAAATTCTTCATAAAACTGCTGGGCTGCTTCACCTCCCATTGCATGTCGATAATCTGGCTTATTTCCCTTTAATTCACAGTACAGCGTGAACTGTTGAAAAATCAAAAATTGTCAAGTTGTCAATGTTAATCAAGATTAAAAAAAGTGTGAAAGATATTCTATATCAAACTGATGCATTATAAAGTTTTTTTTTTTTTTTTTTTTTTTTTTTTTTTTTTTTTTTTTTTTTTTGGGGGGGGGGTAATTTTAATCATCATTAAATCATCAAAGTAAAATATACAATATCTTTTCATTATACTCCATCCCCCAGCTCTCACTGACACTAGTTTATGATCATTATCAACACTCCCTACAACTATATACATAACTTACAACTTGGTGCAACTTTTTATAATGTTCTTTACAAACTGGAACTCGTAGAACTTGCACTTTTGAGCAAAATATCTGCACATGAGTTACAACCCTTTACAAGGTCACCTTGGCTGGTGGGGGTGAAACTACTGCAAGAACTGTTTTTTAATAATTTACATTAGTACCCTTCCATACATTTTACCTGAGAAACGCACAAAATCTCCAGCCCGGCATCTTTTACACCTAACTGCCATCGTTTCCCGTTTCCATCTTCAAATAATCTTGTGTTCAGTATTTTGCGGACCCTGTGGGAAATAGTTCAAGCTTTTTTTTTTTTTTCCACTGAAGTAAGTTCCTCAGACATTACAACTAAGATTATGTTGCTTTTGTTTCCTAAAAATAAAGGTAGTTAGGCAAACCTCTTCAGTATAATACATACCAAGAAAAAGGATTTTAACCCAATGCCGACAGGCATGATGTGTACGTGTATGCCATGCCCACTATGAGTTTACTTGTTTGATTGATTTTACACATAGATTACAAGTACTGCCTGTCTCACCCGTTTACTCTGTTCTTCAATTTATGAAAATATTTTATGTTATCTTATTTTGCTGTTACTGATGTTTATATCATTATAATAATTGTGATTTTTATAATAAAAATAACACCATCGATATTCATAGCAATAGTAGAAAATACGTTTTTTCCACCAATTCAAATCAGGTAAGGTCAAAGGGTCTCCTAATTTACTCCTTCGTGGCT